GAGAGAGAGAGAGAGTCACCATTGCCGTCGCCGTCGCCAATGCCGTTGCCATAGCCGTCGCCATCGCCATTTTTTTTATTTATTTTTTTTTCGACGCGGCATTGCGGCCGTTGTCCTCCACGTCCTCATCCCCATCGTCATCCTCCTCCTCCCGTAATCGTCGTCCTCCTCCTCCCGTAATCATCATTGTCCTCCTCCTCCCAAAAATCGTCTTCCTCCTCTTCCACCCCGTCGTCGTCGTCCTCCCTCTCTTCTCCAGCTCCATCTTCCTCCTCCTCCTCCCCATCGTCCTCTCTTCTCAGCGCCATCTTCCTCCTCCTCATCTGCCACCTCCTCCTGCCCTCCATCTTCCTCCTCCTTATCTGCCACCTCCTCCTGCCCATTATCTTTCTGCGCACCATCTTCATCCTCCTCATCAGCCACCTCCTCCTGCCCGTCATCTTTCTCAGCGCCATCTTCCTCGTCCTCATCTGCCACCTCCTCCTGCCCGTCATCTTTCTCAGCGCCATCTTCCTCCTCCCCCTCCTCCCCCTCCTTTCCTCTGTCTACCCGTTGTCGTTTGCTTACTCTTCCTCCCGTAATCGTCTTCCTCCTCCCCCCGTCGTCATCGTCCTCCCTGTCTTCTCCATCACCATCTTTCTCCTCCTCCTCCCCATCATTGTCTTCCTCGTCCTCTCCGCCACGTCAGCTTCTTTTTTTTCCACGTCCTCCTTCCCGTCGTCATCTGCCACCTCCTCCCCGTCGTCGTCATCCACCTCCTCCTGCCCGTCGTCATCCTCCTCCTCCTCCTCCCCATCGTCATATGCCACCTCCTCCGCCCGGTCATCTCCCTTTCCCTCCCCGTTATCATCCTCCCCCTCCTCCCCATCACCATCATCCCCCTCCTCCTCCCCGTCATCGCCTTCCTCGTCCTCCCCCTCCTTTCCTCTCCCTCCTTTCCCCCGTCCTCCCCCCCCTCCCCCTCCTTTCCTCCGTCTACCCGTTGTCGTTGGCTTCCTCTTCCTCCCGTAATCGTCTTCTTCCTCCTCCCCCCGTTGTCATCGTCCTCCCTCTCTTCTCCAACGCCATCTTCCTCCTCCTCCTCACCGCCATTGTCTTCCTCGTCCTCTCCGCCACGTCACCTTTTTTTTTTTTTTTTTTTTTAATCTAAGATCGAGGTTCGAACTTCGAACCTGCCCGTCGTCAGCTGCCACCTCCTCCACGTCCTCCTTCCCGTCGTCATCTGGCACCTCCTCCCCGTCGTCGTCGACCACCTCCTCCTGCCCGTCGTCATCCTCCTCCTCCTCCCCATCGTCGTTTGCCACCTCCTCCGCCCGGTTATCTCCCTTCCCCTCCCCGTTATCAGCTTCCCCCTCCTCCCTGTCACCATCATCCCCCTCCTCCTCCCCGTCAGCGTCTTCCTCGTCCTCCTTTGCTTTTTTTTTTTTTTTTTTTGCCACGTGGCATTGCGCCCGTTCTCCTCCACATCCTCGTTTGCCACCTCCTCCCCATCATCATCATCCACCTCCTCCTGTCCGTCATCTTTCTCAGCGCCATCTTCCTCCTCCCCCTCCTCCCCCTCCTTTCCTCCGTCCACCCGTTGTCGTTGGCTTCCTCTTCCGCCCATAATCGTCTTCCTCCTCCTCCCCCCGTCGTCATCGTCCTCCCTCTCTTCTCCTGCGCCATCTTCCTTCTCCTCCTCCCCTCCATTGTCTTCCGCGTCCTCTCCACCACGTCAACTTTTTTTTTTTTTTTTTTTAATCTAAGATCGAGGTTCGAAGTTCGAACTTCGAACCTGCCCGTCGTCAGCTGCCACCTCCTCCACGTCCTCCTTCCCGTCGTCATCTGCCACCTCCTCCCCGTCGTCGTCGTCCACCTCCTCCTGCCCGTCGTCATCCTCCTCCTCCTCCCCATCGTCGTCTGCCACCTCCTCCGCCCGGTCATCTCCCTTCCCCTCCCCGTTATCAGCTTCCCCCTCCTCCCCGTCACCATCATCCCCCTCCTCCTCCCCGTCATCGTCTTCCTCGTCCTCCTTTGCTTTTTTTTTTTTTTTTTTTGCCACGTGGCATTGCGCCCGTTCTCCTCCACATCCTTATCTGCCACCTCCTCCCCATCATCATCATCCACCTCCTCCTGCCCGTCTTCATTCTCCTGCAATGACTTGCTGATTTCTGCTGCCGAGATTGTCTGCGAGGCTGTACACTAACTGGTAGGGTTAGTTTTGCAATTTTGTTTGGCTGAGGGCTAACCGAGAGATCCGCCTGTGTCGAAATTCGTGAGGGACAGATCTGTAATTTTTGGAAAATATAGACCTGGTACTAACCGAGTTCCTACAGCTACCCTAACTGCCTATAGCAGGCCCGGGCTACCCCTAGGACAGACAGGCCCTAAGTGGCCTATACTGCTATACGGTCCTATAGCCTATAGCCGGGTACGGTAGAGGCCGAGAGGCCGAAACAGCAACGGTACTGGTAGGTCCGGTCAGTCCGGTCTAGGTCTAGGCTAGGGTAGGGAGTCTATAAGTCCTGTAGGGGAATCGAGTAGGGACTTTTTTGGCTTTTCATTTTTCGCGTGCAGCGTTCGTGGCCAACCAAGTTGAGCAGCGCTGAATGTCCATAGTGGCACCTGGGACATCAGTTGTGTGAAGTGGCCATAGCCGGCCTACCTGAGACAACCATAGCTGGGGCTGTGCTCAGCGCATCTATCCCCAGGGGATATCTGCGTTTGGCAGGACTATCGGAGGGTCTTCACTGAGTACATGTGGGTACTGCTGCTGCGGTAGCAGCCAGGCAGCCATAGCTGCCTTCTTCATCGTCAGAGTGGCTCATCAACACTGGGGACTACTGCGCTATTCATGATCTGCATCTGGGTGTGTGGCGCTGGCCTCTGGGAGGCGGTTTTAGTGCAGCGCTAGACTCTGCGAGTGTAGTAGTGAGTGGAGTGTGTGGGACTTGAGTGGCGAGATACTGGGTTGAACTCTGTTACGATATTTGGGGTTAAACGAGTTGAGTAGGCTCATCATCTGGGTTACTTTCCAATTGTGATCTTCGCAGTGTCATCCTGTGATTGGTTGTTGGGAGTTCATTAGAGAGAGACAACTCTGTGTGTATTCTCCCCGTCTGTGCATGGTTGTTATTCCGCTGTTTATCTCTGGTCTGTGTGCAGGTGGACTCTGTCTCTTCAAACCCTGTGTCTCATGCATGTATGGGCGTGTGTGAGTTCATCTGTGTGTGAGTGGCAATCAAATTGTCAAACAACCAAGTTCATAACAGTTGGTATCGGAGCGGAGATTGGACTTGGAGCTCAGAGGGTTGAGCGCAACAGGGGCAGCTTCTCTTTCTGGCACTAACTCGCGAGAAGTGCCATGGTGGTTCTTCTTCTTCAGTAAAGATCCAGTGGAAGAGAAGACGAACAAGCGGTGACTGCAGGGCATCATCTTGCGATTGATCAGGCACATTGAGCCTGTGTGTGCCTGAGGGGAAGTGGCGAGAATAGGGTTATTTCGCCATCCACCCTCCTGACCTCAGTTGATGACTGGGTCTAGGGTGGCGAAATTTACCCTAATCCAGTGATTACTGGGTGGCGGCTTCAATCCCAGCATAGCGCTGAGGGAGGATTGATCGCAGGATCACCTCCTGCTAAATTAGCCCTACCCAGGGCTAAATTTAGCACCAGCGGCTCATACCTGCAGTGGCGAGATACCTTCAGGAGAGTTTTCTCGCGCCAATGAGCCAGATTCAGTGAATCTGAGGGTGTGGGGTGAATCGCCACATCATACTGGAGCAGATCAACAAGTTTCAGGAGATTCTATGCGTGGGAAGCTCTGGAAGACTGTCTGCAAGTACTGGCGAGACCAGGGTTTGGCAGCCATAGCTAGAGCTTCATCACCCACTGAGTGAAATACTTCAAGTGAGTGTGTTCCATGGGACTCCCTGAGTAGGGATTAGATTAGTGTCAGTAAAAATAGAAATGATGGTTTGTCTGTCATTAGAGTCACAATCGTGAAATTGTCAGACTGCAAGACAACCATATCCATCTTCCTCCTCCCTACCTTGACTCATATCTCATCATCTACTGACCTGTTTTGACTCAAAATTGTTCTCGGACTGTATGACAGTATTGCGCTGCATCCTGTATGACCATACTGTGAATTCTATGTAGGAAAAGTAGTGATACTGTGAATTTGAGTTTTGCGCTGAGTCTATTGATAGTCTGGACTACCTAGGGTCAGTCACAACTCAAAATCTGTCCGTCAGAATTCAAGTGTGTCAGTCAGGGGTGAATCGCAATTCAATTTCTGTCATCGCTAGTCCAGAATCAGTGAATTTGGGTCAGTGCAGTGAAAATGGAAATTCTCCATATCAGAGGGTATTTCTGTTCATGTCAATAGTGGCGAAATTTGAGTCTAGGGCTGTCAGGGTATAGGTTACTGCATCGCTACTACTTGTTGTGCTGTTTCAGTCAATTCTTGCCTGTATTCATCAATACGACTAATCTTCTCTGCTTTTTGATGGGCTCTGAAATATTAGTGACCCCTGGAATGCTATGAATGTGCATCTTGCAACTCCAGTGAAAGTGCAGTGTCAGGTACAGGGAATCACTAGTGCATGATTTTACTAGACATTCAGTCAGCCTCACTAGTGACCCCAGTGGCCCTATTCCAACCCTAATTGCTTGTGCCCACTAACCCACATTGCTTTCAGAATTGACAGTGCAGCGAAATTTGAGTGTCTATGAGATCTGTAAATCGCTGCACCTCCTGCTGTTTCATTTATTTGTTGTGTTGTTTTGAGAGGGAAAATGTCTGGAACCGCTGACACAGGTGCAGGGCAAGTGGAGGTAGTGGTTAAGGATGAGGCCCAAGCCTCACCCTCAACTCCACCTCCCCCTCCTCTGACCCMTGCGCAGCGGCGCAAGAAGGAGATCCAAGAGAAACTGCGAGAGCAACAGGCGCTGCTCGCAGAGGCAGAGAGACAAGAGGCTGCAGAGCTGGAAGCTGCAACAGATGCTTCTAGAAAAGAGCATCTGCTGCAGCAAGCTCAGAAGACTCTTGCAGATGCGAGAGTGGCCCAGTGTACACGAGACCTGGATGAGCTGATATTGTTGGAGGACAAACTTACAGCCAGCCACTTCACAAACTGGGATGAGAGGATCCAGCGGCTGACCAGGGTGGCTGACCTGGGAACTCAGCAGTCAAAGATCCTGGATGCTATCCAGAATCTGACTGCTCAGTTAACAGCAGCCAACGTCATCAGTCTCCTGGTCCCTTTGGTCCCCTCTCTGAAGCCCAAGAAGTCTTCTCAACCCCCTTCTCCACCTCCTTCTCCACCTCCTGTGTCTCCTCACTCTTCTCGCAAGGCTTCTCCCTCTGTCTCCTCCCAGGCCAAAGCCACACCTCCTCCCACCTTTGCTGCTGTTGTTGTTGGGGACCACAGAGGTCCCAAGATCCCTTCCCCCAGCAAATTCAAGGGGGATGACCCCAAGATTGATGTGGGGGACTAGGCAGCTGGAACCCGGGCCTATCTGAAGGGGTTCCAATGCCCAGAGCAGCAAAAGGTGGCTATTGTTGTGGGGCTGCTGGAGGGGCCTGCCCAGAAATGGGCTACCTCTACAGCAAGCGCCCAGAGTCAGACCTTGGAGGACTGGGCACTGGCACTGGGGGCTGACAAACTTTTGCAGGCCCTGGAAGATCGGTTTGCAGATAAAGAGAGAGTCCGCAAGGCTGCTGATAAAATAGTACTCCTGGGCCAGCAGCGTTACAGCGGCAGTCTGCAGGCCTTGTTTGCTGAATTTGAACAGCTGACTTCCACCCCTGGACTGGTTATGTCTGCAAATGATCTGTTAACTAACTTTTGCAGGGCTGTGCCTGAAAAGTTTTGTGTTGCATTGTACAGCGCCGGTCACAAAGACTGGAGATCTTTTGAACGCGCAACACTAGACATGGAGGCCAAGCTCCATGTCCAGGCCCCCTCCAGTGATAGGAGGAAAGGCGCCTTCCCTTGCGGTGGTAGAAGGGGAAAGGCGGCCTTTGCATATGCGGGTTCTGGGTCAGCTTCTGAGACAGGATCCCAGCCTGGTACACCGCCTGCTGGGACTGTTTCAGCTGCTGTTCCGGATGTTGCAGCAGTGTTCAGCAGCTGCAGGTTGCGCTGGGGGCTTTCCAAAAGGCCGGGTCAACCTCCAGCAGCAAGGGGAAGGGTCAGGGACGTCGCTCTTCAACCCCTGCCCGGCGCCCTAACCTGCCACGAGACGTCCATTTTCCTGCAGACCCCCTCAATCCCAACACCCTTGCCTGGCATGACTTGAAGATTCAGGAAGGGGTGTGGAGGAAGAGGAAGGAGAGGGGAGTCTGCCTGAGGTGTGAGGGACAGCATTTCCTCAAGGACTGTCCCTACATGCCTAGCCCAGCTCAGTCAAAAAACTGAAGCTGAACCTGGAGACAGCAGTTCCCTCCAGTGCTGCACCTGCAGCTTCAGTTGAGACGTGTTCCTTCCTACCCAGTGCGGGGACTGCGCGGGCAGCATCCTTCATCTACGAGGATCCTGACCCGGATCAGGAACCGGACCAGTCTGAGTGTCAGGCTCTTGCTGCTTTGTTCTTTCATCTGAAAGAACAAAAGCAGAACAAGTCTGATCTCCTACTCCTCCGGCCCCTGATCAAGCACACCAGGATCAAGGGGTTATTGGACTGTGGAGCCACCCGAAATTTCATGTCTCCCAGTGCAGTCAAAAAACTGCATCTGGGCATGAAAGTGGTGCAACTGCAGCAACCGCTGCGGGTCAGGATAGGTGACTCCACTATTCTGTCCATCAGGGAGAAGGTCAGGGGTACCCCTGTAACCTTCGACAACGCTGGAGAAGTCAGACATAGTTTGAACTTCTACATATTCCCTGATCTACCCTTTGACCTGGTATTCTCTATGCAGTGGCTGAGAGCAGTCAACCCAAGGATCGACTGGCAGATCCTCAAGGTTGAGCTGCCAAACAGCAAGGGGGTGTATCAGCCTGGTATGATTGCAGCTGATCACCACCCTAAGACCACCTGCTTCTGCTTGAGAGCGAGAGAGTTTTATGCTCTCTCATGCCAGTACGACCATGAGCGCCTGTTCATAGCTCTGGTCAAGCAGACAGACGCTCGCTCTACTCCCTGTCCTCCTGAGATACAGCAGGTTGTGGACCAGTATAGTGATCTGATGCAGGAGCCCTTTGGGTTACCCAACCGGCCAACCAAGCATCACATTGAGCGGCTGCCTGGAGCGGTCCCTCCCAAGGGCCGCATCTACAAGATGTCACCTGCTGAGCTTGAGGAGCTCAGGCGACAGCTTGAGACCCTGACCAGCAAAGGCTGGATCAGGCCCAACACTTCTGAATTCGGTGCTCCAGTCCTCTTTGTTCCAAAGGGGAGTGGTGAGTTCAGAATGTGCATAGACCACAGGGGTCTCAACAAGATCATTAGGAAGAGCACAAAGCCACTTCCTAGGATTGATGACCTTCTGGATATGGTCCAGGGCTGCACCATCTTCAGCAAAGTCGACCTCAAATCTGGCTATCACCAGATTGAGATGGCAGAGGAGGACATCCACAAGACGGCCTTCAAAACCAGGTATGGTACTTATGAGTACCTGGTGATGCCATTTGGACTTTGCAATGCACCTGGCACATTCCAGACTGAGATGCACCGCATATTCAGGCCGTACCTGGATAAGTTTATGGTTGTCTACTTGGATGATATCCTGGTATTCAGCAAAAATACCAGGGAACATGCGGAGCACCTGGCTCTGGTTCTTCAGTCGTTACGTGACAGCCAATACAAGATCAACAAAGAGAAGTCCTCTTTTGGAGTTCCCTCTGTGATCTACCTGGGTCATGTAATCTCTAGAGATGGACTGGCCCCTGAAGCAGCCAAGATTGCTGCTATTCAGGATTGGCCACAGCCCTAGACAGTGAGAGATGTCCGGTCTTTCTTGGGTCTGGCCTCATACTACAGAAAGTTCGTCAGGAACTTTTCCGCTGTGGCTGCACCCCTGACTAACCTCACAAAGAAAGACACTCCCTTTCTTTGGTCTCTTCACTGTCTGATGGCCTTCGCACGACTCAAACAGGCCTTCACTCGTGCACCTGTTCTGAAGTTGCCTGACCCCACCTTGCCTTTTGTGCTGACTACTGATGCTAGCCAGTACGGCATTGGGGCAGTTCTTCAGCAGGATGATGGGAATGGTCTGAGACCTGTAGAGTTCATGAGTAAGAAGATCAAGACTCAGAAGCTTCACGACTCTACCTACGAGAAAGAGCTTTATGCTCTTGTCAGTGCCCTGAAACACTGGAAACACTTTCTCCTGGGCAGGCACTTCAAGATCTTTTGTGATCATTCCACTTTGCAGTGGTTGAAGTCCCAGGGAGAGTTAAATGATAAGTTGGCACGTTACATTCAGTTCATTGATCTGTTTGACTTTGAACTAAGACACAAGAAGGGCTGCTACAACAAAGTAGTTGACGCCCTCTCTCGTAGGCCTGTCTCTTTTGCGCTGATCTCCTCTACTCATTCCTTTGGGGAGGAGGTCCGTCAGACCATTGCTCGTTTACTGCCTCAGGATCCGACTTATGGACCCATCGTCAGGAATCTGCAAGCAGATCCCAACTCTGAACCTGGCTATGCCATGAGTTCAGATCTGTTGTACACTTACAGCAGAGGAGAGGAGCGCTTGTGCATCCCTGAGGATCAGCAGCTGCGGACACTGCTGATGTCAGAGTGCCATGACGCGCGTGGACACTTTGGGTTCCTAAGGTCGTATGCAGCGTTGTCACAGCGCTTCTTCTGGAAGGAGATACAGAGTGATATGCTGTGCTATGTGGATACCTGCAAGCTCTGCCAAAGGAACAAGGTTCAGCGTAAACCTCCTTTGGGATTGCTCAAACCCTTGCCCATACCTGATGGTCCTGCAGAGTTTGTATCCATTGATTTTACAGACTTAGGCAAGACTACCCCTCGTGGCATGCGTCAGGTTATGGTCTGCGTGGACAGGTTTTCCAAATACGCAGAGTTCATCCCCTTGCCAGAGGTAGCCAGGGTACCGGCTGTGAGAGCAACCTTTTCTGAGAGGTGGGTCACGCACCATGGACCACCCACCTCTATTGTTAGTGATCGAGACCCCAGATTCTGCAGCGATGAGTGGCAGTCCTACTGTAAGGACTATCTGCACTCACGCCTGGACATGACTTCTGGTCGTCATCCTGAAGCCAATGGATTGGCTGAAGTGATGAACCAAGTCCTGTTCYAGTTGCTGCGCCCTGTGATCTCTCCGGATCAGCAGGACTGGGATCTCCACTTTGCGAGGGCACAGCTCATGTATAACATGTCTGTCCACTCCTCGACGGAGTTCAGTCCCTACCGACTACATATGGGACGTGAGCCACCACAGCCTCTCGATGATATCATCAATAAGGCTAAGCTTGACCTTACCCCAGGCACTGCAGAGTTCGCCAGACGCTATCGTCTGGATGTGGAAAGAGCCCGGGCGAACTTGTTCAAGGCCCAAAAGGCCATGATTGAACAAGCTAACCGCCACAGGCGGCCTTCCCCCATCCGCACTGGTGACTATGTCTGGGTGGCCAGTTCTGAGTTGTCGAGGGAGGAGGATATTCTCCCAAGCTGTTGCCACGCTACCTGGGTCCGTGGCAGGTTCTAGATACAGTGGGCGTTGATCCCTTCGGTCCGTCGTACGTCATCGACGTTCCGCTGCATCTACGAACCTATCCGGTCTTTCATGCGTCCAAGTTGTTGCCTTCTACGCCAGCTGATGCATTCCCTGACCGGCCCCCTCAATGGGGCCCACCAATCCCTGGCAAGGGATATGATGTGGTGGCCATTGAGGATGAGTGGGGCACTGGCCCCGACCTGCAGTATCTTGTCAGGTTCGCTTTTCAGCCCCAGAAGAGACCTGATCAAGACAGCAAAGTCTGTTGTACTGCGATATGAGGCGGCTCAGAAGGGTGACCTTCGCCGTTCGCCTCGCCTGCACCCCTAGCTCGGAGGTCCTAGCTCCCGGGGAGGGTAAGCCTGCAATGACTTGCTGATTTCTGCTGCCGAGATTGTCTGCGAGGCTGTACACTAACTGGTAGGGTTAGTTTCGCAATTTTGTTTGGCTAAGGGCTAACCGAGAGATCCGTCTGTGTGGAAATTCGCGAGGGACAGATCTGTAATTTTTGGAAAATACAGACCTGGTACTAACCGAGTTCCTACAGCTACCCTAACTGCCTATAGCGGGCCTGGGCTACCCCTAGGACAGACAGGCCCTAAGTGGCCTATACTGCTATACGGTCCTATAGCCTATAGCCGGGTACGGTAGAGGCCGAGAAGCCGATACAGCAACGGTACCGGTAGGTCCAGTCAGTCCAGTCTAGGTCTAGGCTAGGGTAGGGAGTCTATAAGTC